TGACCTATTTCCATAGAATTCAACATACTATTAATATCGAGGCGTTAAAAAACATTGAAATCCATAGTTACAACCCATATTCGCTACACGGGCTGTGGTTCCACGATCACAACTCGGTGATCTGTTGATCAGACCACCGGTACGGTAAAAGATTTGGTAGTGCTTCGTTTCGGTTTTATCTCCATATACTTTATCTTTGTATTGGCCTATTGGCTTAGTTAGATTATTCCAACACTTTAATAACACTGCTAACAGAACAAATTTGAAATTTCCATCAGAAAAATTCTAACCTCCAAACGCCTGTGGATTCTACCCGCCTCTATTACCCGCCTTCACACTAAAATATTTTTTTTGTTATTTTTCTTAATTCTGTACGTACATGTGTACTTTCGGCATGTGCAACAATGAACTACCGACTGACCCTTCTTCCCCCTCTAAAATGAAACGCTGGGGAACATAACGGAATACAACTTATTTCGAAGAAACGGCATTTTTTGGTTTGTAATTGCCGACCTAATGTATTACATCATAAATAAATAGTAAAATGATACTTAGAATTAGGCGGCGACTAAGCGAGCAAATACTAATTACTTCATATATATATATATATATAGAAGACATCATAATACAATCATACACGTTTCCGGAAACAGTCATTATTCGCAACTCATATGTATTTCAAGTGATTCGCGAGTCCTTCTGCATGATAACACATATATATTATCTTCATGAACTGACTTGTTTAATCACTATTCCCCTGACGAACTCTCTTCGATTCGATTTGTATTTCCCAAATTGTATTCACGCGTTTGTTGAAAAACAATTAGTTCGTATCATTTGTTCCTCGATTTAATTAACGTCATTTGCTGCTGGACTCAGCAAAGACATTGTCGCTGACACGATTACAAAATAGTCTTTCGCGGCCACTTGTCAATTGTGGTCGAAATATTGTATATGTTTTTTTTTTCGATTGGCAAGTAGCCTACCGTATATATCAGACATGGGCAAAGCACGGCCCGTGGGCGAAATCCGGCCCATCGGGTAATTTAATCTGGCCCGCCTCATGCTGGCACAACCAACCTGAAATCAAATTTTGATGTTTCAGCTGAAATAGCTCAAGGAATTTGTTGAGATTGCGGTTAAGTTTAGTTTTGACACGAGGCCTATTGTTTTCCACCTTTGCTTTGTAACACTGTAAAATTGTTCATAGAATGCAACTTTTTACGTCACACTTACATGGCCCGCCAGTCTAAGTGGGCAGAATTTTTGGCCCCTGGTTAAAAAAACCTGGTATATATGTTATTTTGTTTCATCGGTACAATGTTTCATGCACGATGAAAATAAATACTGTATCTGAATCTAAACTTCTCCATCCTTCTCCAGACATACATAGTCAACGCTTATGATTTGGTTTCTGCGTGACCAACTACTTATTATTCTTCTATTTTTTGTGCTGATGGATTCGTATGCATATGATGCAAGGATGCTGTAACAAGAGTAAAGATACGTAACCTAAGTGATTCAAGAGTCTTGCTGCACACTAACACAAATATATTTCTGTAACGTTTCGTCTGACCAAGTTGCAAGTTATTTCTCTTCAAATAATCCAGCATCATTGCGATATAGATCGTAATATACGGCTAGTAGACTGCTCGTGCAAACTCCACTGCCATTATTTGCCAACAATAGCTGATAGCCAATCATTAACCAAGATTTGCTGAGCAAGGGTAGCAAGTAGGACTGTCCCAGATAATAATGTTTACTTTTATATAAGTTGATATTTATTGCTTAGCTTATGCTTATTATCCATACTGGAAATAGGAGCATACGTTTCCAGTTATTATGGTAATATATTTACATTCGCATGGGATAACATTTTTTTTGCATTCGATTGCATTATTTATAGTTTTGAAGAAAAAGTTCATGATATGGCGAAATTCACCAAAGCGACCTTTCTTTCATGAATCCTAATGCGTGCCGTCGGGATACCATGTTGTTATATGTTTCCCACGTAATGGCATTGTAAGTCATGCTTTTGGGATTTTTTATTTTGAATTGATCTACAATAATTTGTTGGACTACAACTATAGCATAGGATTTGAATATTTATACCAAGGGAGAAGAAAGCCGATAAGACGACTCAATCATGGGCGGCGGTGTGGCTCATCGTGCTAAGCGTTAGGAATACGCTCGCCACCGCACCTTTAATAACTCTGCGTGGGTTCGCAGGTTCGGCTCTCATGCAGCGATAGTTATGTGCGAGAGAATTGCAGGAGTTCTCGCCGCCATACGGTGGTTCACGTAACGGCTGGTCGATTCCGGCTTCTTCTACCGTCAAGTCCATGCTTCCGAAAACAAATAACTAACCATTCCCATATCAGGCATGAAATGGTGATCAGATGAGAGGCCGTGGCTCGACATATAGTTAATCCGTTTTATCGCCTTTCCTCTCTTCCGGCATAAATATGTAAATCCAATCCTAAATTCTATCATATGTCGAGCCACAGCCTCTCGTCCGGTGACCATTCCATGTCGGGTATGAAATTAGTTATCCAGTTCAATGAGTATATTCTCATTGGCCAGATTATGTTTTCAGATGCATGGACTTGATGGTGGAGGAAGACCTAATCGACTGGCGTTTACGTGAACCACGCTACGGCGGTGAGTAGTCCAAGAATCCTGTCGCACATAATTAACCAGTTGATTCGAACCTGCGAACACGAGCAGAAGTGCCGTGGAGAGCGTATTCCTCACGATGCGCCACACCGCCGAGTCGACTACTCAAAAATTTTAGTGACTCAAAATGTATATGTACAGTCCTATATGATTTCAGCATATCTTGTTTTTCCGGTGGTCGCCCGAAACTTTAGCAAACTTCTCCCACTTAGATTGCGATCACGACGGGGTTGAACCAGCCATTTGTGGAATAAGAATGTTGCGGACACAACGATGCGCTAACCCGCATTCGCCGTCAAAGTACTGATAACTAGTACTACGACCGTCAGCTGGTGAATAATTCTATTGTTAATCAAGTTTTTAAGATAGTATTTCAGCCTCTATATACCACTAATTCCACTGTCGTCGGTCAATGTAAAATAAAATTGTTGAACGAATTTCTCGTTTTTTGTTTGTTCGAGTTATAAACAGCGACGAGGTCGATAAACTAGACTCCTTCCACCACCTACTCAACGTTTTGCGCGACTGGAAATTAGCGTCCGTGACGACAGTTTCTCTCATTTTTCAAAATTATTGTCTTTTGTAAACTGCTATTAAGTTTCTTTATTGTTAGGAATCATTCGAATTAAATAGGCTTCATGATGCTAATTATGTCTAATTAGACGGATTAGGTAGAATAGAAGTCTCTCGATAATTTGTAAGGTCAGGCGCTTATTTTTGTTATGTCAGTCCCGCCGTTTGTTGGCTCGGCTGCAATCGGGTTTCGGGGATTTTTACAGCAGCACAGGGTATTCTGGAATAGTATGCAGGGATTGCAGAGTTTAGTTATTTGCTTTTAATAACTGGTTAGTTCTGATTGCTTGCCAAAAATTGAGGAAATAAAGAATTGACGACTCGATTATCAAATTCATGAATTCTGAAATTGAATAGGATAGGATTTAGGATTAGGATTTACATATTTATCCCGGGGAAGAGGAAAACCGATAAGACGGCTTATCCATATGGCGAACCACGGCCTCTCGTCCGGTTACCATTCCAAGTCGTTATATTGTTTGTTTTCGGAAGCATGGACTTGGTGGTGGAGGAAGCCGTAACCGACCAGCGGTTACGTGAACCACCCAACGACGTCGAGGAGTCCAGCAATCCTCTCGCACATAACCATCCCTGCATGGGATTCGAACCTGCGAACCCACGCAGAGTAATTAGAGGTGCGGTGGCGAGCGTATTCCTAACGCTTAGCCCGTTGTAACACCAGGACACTGGTGTTACAGTATCAAGCAGCAACATCCATTTAAGGTCTAGACTCTATTGTAAAGGAGGGGTTTGCAATCACTGTTGTCTGTTATTATTGATGTCTTTCAATAATAACAGACAGCGCGGCAGTGTGGCTCAACGGGCTAAGCGTTAGGAATACGCTCGCCACCGCACCTCTAATTACTCTGCGTGGGTTCGCAGGTTCGAATCCCATGCAGGGACGGTTATGTGCGAGAGGATTGCTGGACTCCTCGCCGTCGTTGGGTGGTTCACGTAACCGCTGGTCGGTTAGGGCTTCCTCCACCACCAAGTCCATACTTCCGAAAACAAACAATATACCGTAACTAATCCTATACCCGACTTGGAATGGTAACCGGACGAGAGGCCGCTATCCTATCCAGTGTCCTGGTGTCAGGGTATTGGCATCTTCATTCACCATGAAATCTGGAAATGTAGTTTGTTTACAATTTATAATCTTTCCATCCTTTCAAGACATTTAAATTACGTCTACACCTGTATACAGATACACTGTACTGGATCAAATAGTCATGATTACTGTATTATCTTGAGTGCTCTAAGAGTAAAGCTCGAAAGTTTAATACATTCGCTTATCTTTTTCTGTTTTTTGTTTATTTCTGGCCCAAGTTTCGTTCTGAACCAGCTTTGTGTTTTTATTAATTTTTTTGTGTGTGTGCTGATATTTCTCATGTTTTAAATTTTTTTAAAGGATTTGCTCGCTCTCCAGAATTCTCCATGCAGAAGAAATGCTAATTTGTGTGTTCTAAGGAGTTTTCATAATAAACTATCTATCTCTCATTTCGGTATGGTGAAAAAAAATCAACCAATGTTACTGACATGGACAAACCGGCATTGCGAAATGAACTAAACTAAAAAACATCACCATTGAGTTCCTCGGTTAAAAATGATCTAATTTATCGAATAAATAAAATTAACTTTAGCATTTGAGAGTAAACAATACAATTTTGGTCACATGACGGCCGACGAACAACACTATTGATTTAAATAATAAACCTCATTTCAGAGACAAACAGATTGTGTTTCTTTTTTGCAGAAATTATATTTCTACTTTATTTTCTATCAGTATTATATGTTTGAGTCAAATGCAGTTCTACAAAGACTTCAGTCAAACAGTATTGTGACATCATAAATATGGCATCAGGGACAACAAATGGGGACGATGTAAGCCTTCTTCTGTAACTCACAAATATGTATAGGATCCTTTCTTTAATGTTTTCAATTCCAATATAATTATTCTTTGCCTTGAATACAATAAATCATGTTTTCCTAGGCGTTTTCACCATTAATATATTAGCTTTATGCTAATTATGTGCTGGCTAAGCATGGCGGTATATATAGTTCGAAATCTCGTATAATTGGACTCTATTTTGTACATTAGGAGATGCTAGGAGTGCCTGTAAAATCTGGTTTAAATAAGATTGGTAACTGAAGCTGTTAACTCAGTATAAACGTATAATCAGTCCATAAACATAACCAAAGTAACTTTCATGACCCGCCAACAGGAATGAGCTGTCAAGTACAGAAAGCACATGGCTACTTCACGTTCACAGCTGGTTGATTATGATCAGTCATCTGATATCACAGAACATGCTCAGCCCTCTGGGAAAATGCTAGTTGCCAGAAATACAACAAAGATACAGTCGACAGAAGCTATCTCGAATTTTGAAAACCTAATTGCTCTTTATCTGTAAAGAGAGAGCTATCAAGAATCAACATTTGTTAAAACATTCTTTGAGTAATTTATTTTTAACTTTTTTCAGGCTGATCTTCGAGCTCCAAGGCGTCGTCAACCTTCACAAAGACTTGGAATAAGCGGATATGAGATTCATAGAGCAGTTCAAGCACTGCAAGGTTGGTTTTTCTATTTAATAAGATCATAGCTCAAAGCAGGCACATAAAAAAGAGGTTATCTCTAAGCCCACATTTCCAACCAAGGAGAGATTTTGTCTCTTCTGGTGATAATTTTTGCTTTGTTTATGCTTTAACATTACTAATATTTTCCAGTTCTTTATTATTTCCCATTTATACATTTACTTGAACTAACTGAACCAAAACTTTTTTTGCTTGATATCAAAAATTTTATTCAATGTCGCCGCATATCACTAATACAATACAAGAGTAAAAAAGTCAAAGATCGATTGGATCAACTGAAGATAGAATCTCCCCCCCCCCCCCATACCCACCTAGGAAGGTGATTGTTCAGTTGGACTCACCTGGGGTAGACATTCTTCAGTTGCTCCTGTTTCCCTACTGATAAATATACCCCCCCCCCCCCCTAACCCATCTGAGCCGATAATACCAGTTTATCCTTCATTTGTCCTGGACTAATTATTTTGGTGCGGTCAGGGTTAGATGGTCTTAGTTGGGTGGAGATTCTTCAGTTGATCCGATCGATTAATTGACTTTAATTGATTTGTTAAAAGTCGACTAAATTTTTTGAATATATTAATTTAAGAAATCAGAATAGTGAATTATCCTCGTTCAGCCTTTTCTAGATTCGTTATTTAATTGCACTTGATTTTAAATCTTATATAGGAACTAATTAAATGCCTGTTGATTGAGCACTTGAAATACCAAAAGCATATTATGAGTGGTTGGAATATGTTAAGTGTTTTTTTATTGGACATGAGAATCAGAATTAAATTAATGATGCGATCAAGAATAATACAGAGTGTCCATAAAGTCCCTTAACAATTTCATATTTGTTATGAAGTCAGTTCTCAGTATATCTTGACCAGGTTTGTTGTTTTTTAAAATATCAGTAATTGTTCAAGTATTTTTACCTCATTTAATACATCTGTGAGGGCCAATAAATATATTATGGTATCTATAAATTCCCTTTGCAATTTTTAAAATTTTTTTAAAAAATCATAGAAACCTTATATATTCAAACATGCAGTCATGTTCATAAAATACCACAAAGAATTGAGAATGACACTGTTTTAGATTTACAAGACAAATATTTTTTTTACCATGCTCATTGACATCCTATGAAAGCTATCAAGTTATTCTACAATATGCGTTGATGTGATGATACGTTGAAGAATAATATATTCAAATATTTACTAAATTGGGTCATGTTCATAAAATACCACAAAGAATTGAGAATGACACTGTTTTAGATATACAAGACAAATATTTTTTTTACCATGCTCATTGACACCTTTCGTCCTATGAAAGCTATCAAGTTATTCTACAATATGCGTTGATGTGATGATCTGTTGAAGAATAATATATTCAAATATTCACTAAATTTGGTCGTGTTCAAAAAATACCACAAAGAATTGAGAATGATTTTGTTTTAGATTTGCAGGACAATTATAATGAGCAGTGATTTTTCATACCACACACATTTATGGCGTTTGCTCTGAACAAGACCTTGTACAAGTTTACAGTGATATCTAACGATATGCAGGAGCTACTTATTTTTATTTAGAATCTTTCTTCTTCAGCATTTCTTACATAATTTATTATACCTTGGGTGAGGTGGGGGCATGACATTTGAACCCGATATATGTGTAACACTTAGGCCGTCCAAAATTGCTTCGATTGGCTTTCCATTTTTTATAGTTTTCAGAATTAAAATAGTGGTATTTTTGGTTTTATTGTAAGACTTCAATTTCACAAAAGACTATTTCCCTTGTATATCCTCGCATATTAAGCAGAGTTTAAAACCCGAAAAAAAAAAAATTTGTTAAACTAAGTGATCAGCTTATTAACGCATATCTATGATTGCACTCAATGAAATTACATTATGCTAACTTAATTCCAACAGCTACAACTCGAACCATGCTAAGTTTTCACAATAAAAGTGTACGATATTTTATTGGGTCGACTTTATGCGAATTTTTATAAATCCACCATTTTAGGGCCATTATTAGGAAGTCAGATAATATGCGAGGATATATTGTATTTTGGATCATTCCCAAAGTGACGAATTTAAAATATTAAATATAATAAATTTCAAAACAATTCAAATTTTAAATTCACTTGGCTGTGTATGGTTACAAACATATCAAATTAAGGATGGATATATTATTGAGATTAATTTAAATTCCGATTTCTAAAACAAACGTCAGAATTATCGCTTTTATTTGCACATACTGAGTGGCACTTATGTTCAACAAACTTGTCATCAGTACTGGCTTGTAAGTTTTAAATTTTTATGGCGTCTTGTACACAAGTTATAACATGGTGGCATTTTTCATTGATTTATTAGCGTCTGGATATCAACGTTTGTAAATAGAGCCTTGACTAGCGTAAATAGTCAGATATGCGTGATCGAGTTTGCTTTGTGGGAACTGTACGATGTCTTGAGATCATGAATAACTATTTTGTAATAGTTTGGTATTTTAAAATTCAATTTTCAATCAATTTCAATTTCGAATATTCTAAATGCTAATATTTTATATCGAAATTGTGATAAATGGTACCAAACATCACTCCATCAAACTAAAACTTCGCTCATGTTTTAATTTCTTTCAATTAAGAATATTGCAATGTAATATGAAATACAGAGATCAAGAGAGAGAGGATAAAAGTCGAATCTTTTATTTTCAAAATCAAAATTTTTTCTATTATAAAATTTTGATCGAGTCAGATTCAAACCGGCGATCCATGGATATCAGCATTTTACCATTACAGGACAACGTTCTACTAACTGAGCCATTGGAGGATATATCTCTATAAAGACACTAGACCTGAAAATTTAAAATTGATTTGTCCATCGTCCGTTTTTTTTTAAAAAAAGACCCATATTCTACCAACTTCTATACGAAAAAAATGAAAAATATTGATCAATACAAAACATCAATATGTAGTTTTTTTCCCTGGGCATTCATTTCTGGGAAATAATCATGAAAATTTCAGGTTTTATAAGCTCAAAATGTTTCACTCTGTATCAAATGACTAGCGACTTTCTCTATTTATAACTATTGGAAATTTGGAGCACTAGTTGAAATGAATAGCAATTTTTGTTCGACGACAATTCAGCAAAACATCAATTAGCAGTTTCTTCTCTAGAGCATTTATTCCTAAAAATATTCTGATTGATATTTTAGATTTTTAATATTTTGAAATGTTTCACTCTATAGCAAGTTACTAGCATGTCTTTAATAAGTAATTTGTAATAAAAACAATTTTTGTTCAAAACATATCAACAACAATTTATCAAAATGATCTGTTGGCGAACTTTGCGTCCAAAATAAATATCAAATACAAGCAATGACCAAACATCAATAGATTTCTTTTGGGGACAATAATTCCTAGAAAAATTATCAACAAAAGACTTAGCGTTACTGTAGAAATATAAAGGATAATTTGTTTTCGTTACTAGTAGTGAAGCGTCGGTGTTTAGTTAGGTTTTTGTTTTCGTAAGATTTAGACAAAAGATGGATATAAGGCAGACTTTGTATAGTACAGCAGATTTCTTTATAAAATTATCACTGGGCCAATCATTTCCCATAGATAATGCAATATTGAAATATGTAAAATATCTATGTTTTATCTTATATCAGACATGGCACAGCCATAATGCTTTCTCATAGCGTCTGAAAAATCTTGAATTTTTTTAATAATTATCAAATTTGGGTCGAATGTAAATCGGATATTTTTTCTTCAAGTTATCTCTGGCCATTGTTAAATCACTGATAAGTATTCTGCGAATTTGTCAACTACCTTTGTTGTTTTAAGGAGTTTTATGATGGAATAATAGAAATTTCTTAACAATGGTTGAGTGTTTACTTGACGCAATGCTCATTGATGACTCACAATAAGCTCCTGTTTGTTTTGTTCTTAACTTCTTTGTTCTGTGATAATAGTGGTAAAACTCACTCAGTTAGTCTGGTAACTACAACTTATCCTCATTTAAAAAAAAAATTTAAAATAATTTGGATACAGATATTTCAAATTCAAAAACGAATTTCAGGGCTTTCAAGTAATTCAACACAAATACTTATTTTTAGGGGAAAAAATGATTTCAAGTATCTGTATGTATAAATAACCAATTCTTATCACACAAAGCAATCCTTTTTGTTACGTCACTATACATAAAATATCTGTAATAATTTGTTTTTCAATCTATTAAGGGTAATTAGCTTGTGATATTCAAAACTTGCACTTTGGCTATTTTGCTGTTTGAATAGCTTATAATGTGTGAATAAACGTAAGTACTCCCGAAGTATGTGAACCAAGATGGCTGACACCCGATCGTAGCAGGTGTACCAAGCTAGGATTAGTGGAGTTCGAGTTATGAGTTCGTGGACTAGCCAAATGACTCTCGTAGTATTTGTACCTGAAATTATGGCCTAATCCTAGCCTGGTACACATACTACGTTCCGATGCCTGTAATCCTGGTTCACATACTTCAGGAGTACCTAAATGTAATTATAAAAATTCTGGTTGGAAAGTGCTGATCAAATGTTAACAAACAAATTTTTTTGATTTTTCTTATATCAGCAGTAAATGTAGATGGAGTAAGAAAAATTTGTATTAATTTTGCATCCTTTTTTAGATCAGCACCAAACTGTACAGAAAAGAACATTCACAAGATGGATGAATTCACATTTATGCAAGGTAACTAAAATTGCATCAGATAAAACACCATTTTATCATTGGGATGGTAGAATTTTTTCATTTCCTGATAACCTTCTTTGATATTTTGGGGAGTATAACTATTTACTTCATTCTAGAGACACTTATTACTTATCGATTTTAATCGGTAAGTATGTTGATAGGTATTTGTTTGTCTGTCTGTGTCTGTGTGCATTCATCATATCCCGGACCAAAAGCCTATTGATTTTGGGCGAATTATGTCGTATAATTAGCGAGTTATTAATTAATTAGTGATGGGACACAAGATGTCACTATGGAGTAAAAGCGCTGTTTTGGGGGATCCCCTAACTTTCGATCGATAAGTCTTCGGTCTCTGACCGATATTCTCGTTTCATTTTTGGCACATACGTTATTTCTAGGGCTCCAAACTTTTTTCTGATGGTGTAACATTTTTCATTCTTGGATTACAACTTTACTTTTACTTTACAAATATAAAAATTTCTTTAGCCCCTGTATAGGTATGTGGTCATGAAGTCGCAAAATGGTTTTCAAATTCCCAATCCTTGATCCAGTTCAACTACTTGGCAATTGAAACCTTGCCTTGGGAACGGGTTCGTTATCAAAGTGGCATTGCTGCATGAACCCAAGCTTGGTCTGTATGTAAATTGTGCAATGATGCATCTCTATGATGAAAATGATTTTTCCGTCACTTTAGTGATTTTTTTATTCATATTTGACAATATTTGTTTTTGAAGAATCTAGTATTCGAAATGATTTTTGTTTCAACCCAACTGTGAAAATCAGTGTATTCATGCATAATCCGAACCCTTCATAAGATTCGAAACGAACAGCAAATGTGTATCCCCGAACCTTAGCATGAAGAGCCAACCACCAAACCTTTTTGATGTAAGCAGTAACAATTTCATTTTTTTATTACAGTGGAGGCCTCCTCTAGAAGTGAATGATCTCTATGAAGATATACGTGACGGAACGAAGCTTATTGCATTGCTGCAGATATTGTCTGGAGAAAGATTGGTAAACATACTTTTTATTTGGTGGAAATTTTATGTGACATTCTCACAGTTTACGATGAACAAACGCTTTTTCAATTAAAATATGTAGGCCTATGTGTTCTATATTCCAACATATTATGGAATTACACACCCTCTACCATGCTAATCAAGCTTTAAGAGAAAAGGATTTGTACTATGTGCATTTTTCTTCTGCCAAAACTGTTGAGCTCATGAATAATTCATTCTGTTAGCCAAGGCTACATCAACATTTCTTTCATAGACTTTCCCAATTATTGATTATATGCAACACAAAATGTTTCAAAACTTCGGTTTCAAACAAAATTTATAATTCAGGCGAGCTTGTAAAAATTGTATTTTCCCAGTATACATATAATTAACATTAATTTTAAGAAAAATTTTCCTTAATTTTTCAGTTTTCTTAAATCAATGTCTTGAACTTTTGACTAAAAGTGAACCAGAGGCTATATATTGATTTACTCGAGCTGCAGATATAAATTAGATGAATGAGCTAACTTCATGCTTTGGGTAGGCACCCACTGAATCATAACAATCACCGGTACTCCTGAAGTATGCGCATCAAGATGTCGCATAACCTGAACCCCAACCTGGTACACAACCTGAGTTCGGGTTGTGCGCCATCTTGGTGCGCATACTTCAGGAGGTCCCAATCACCTATTTTGAAAAGGGCTGTAATCTTTTTCAATTTAGAATTGCCTTCCCACCCGGCATCGGGGGCACCAGTAGTGCCAACATTGTCAAGTCAAATGCTCAAAATATCAAACTGAAATAGGCTGATGTTTCATTTCAAACCAACCCTTGTTAGTTACCTATATTTCAGAACAATTGAATATTTTTTTTGAACCATAACAATATATTACTTCTTGATTTCAGGTTACAGAAACGAGTCGCAGATCACAACGCTTCGGTCATCTCACAAATATACAGACAGCGTTAGCATTTCTTGAAAATAAAAAGGTTTGTCACAATAAAGACTTAGAAGTTTTTATTATCTTGAGTCAAAAGTCGAGCCTATTGTAAATATTCTCCAAAATTGATCCCTGATTTTGGCCGAATGTCTAACTAGGTGTCAAAATGGAGTTGTGAATTCTTGACTACGCAGTTGAGGCGCTCATTAACAATGCAGCAAGATATCGGGGGAATGTTTTATCTGGAGTCGGAAGTTGGAGTTTATTATACATATTCCCAGAATCTGATTTATAATTTTTGCCACTTTGATCCAAATACGGTAAATACATTTCTAAATAGTACACTAGATGTCAGGATAGAGTCATTGAGGTATTGGCTTTTCAGTTCGGACAATCTCTCAATAACAACAATGTCGATCTATCCAAATACAGTAAATACCTCTGCTTAATAGTACACTAGATGTCAGGATGGAGTTTTTAGTTGAGTCAATCTCCCAATAACAACGATGCAGCTAGATATCTGGAGAATGTTTTATCGATTAATCAATCAAAAGTTGGGAGTCTATTGTACATATTCCCTAAACCTAGTCCATAATTTTTGTCATCAAAATTCAAATACAGTAAATAATGCCTTGCTAAATAGTACACTAGATGTCAGGATGGAGTTGTGATTCTTGACTATTTGGATCGGGGTAGCTTCTCAGTAACAACAATGCAGCTATTTGTATTTTTATCGATTCATTCTTTCCAAATTTCTAATTTTCATTTCCAATCTTCTTTACTCTAATTCCAGATGAAAAATTTCAATAGAAACTCAGCAGACATAGCATCCACAAAATCCAAGATGCTTTCATCTCTTCTTCATTCTAATTTTCTTCACATTATTTTCAGATAAAACTTGTCAACATAAACCCAACAGATGTCGTAGACGGCAATCGTTCCATCATTCTAGGATTGCTTTGGAAAATTATATTGTGTTTCCAGGTAGGCTCAGTGCTGACAGTTTTTTATTTTTTATGTGAAAATGCTTGATTTTTGTGCCTTGATAACGATTGTTTTCAGAAGCCACTTTTTACTCCTAATAAGGTCACTGATAGACTGCATAAGGAGCTGTTAGTATTTTTGTTAAAAAATAACATAAGCATTTAAAATGGCATATGTTAGAAAAATGGACACTCCAGAAGTGTGTGTACCAATATGGAGGTAACTAATTTTGTTCACCTACTTTAAATCAAGTTGTATAAGAGGACGGAAGCCTATGGGCAGGGATATATTCACTTGGCTAACACAGACATTCCCCGAACTCTTAATAGAACTAAAATAGGGAAAATCGGAATAAAATTAGGGCCTAACCCTAACCTGGTACACACACTACGGTAGTACGGAAAATGTGTGATTATGCAAAAGGATTGCTTATGAATTAACAAAAGTCATGCTTACTCTGAAAATGACTTTGTAAAGTGACCGTTGATATGCAAGGAACTTTTAGGAGGTTTTTTACACCCTGTATGAGATGCCATCGAATTCAAACTTGATATTTGATGTGAGATGACAATGCAAAAAATGCTTTGAGAAAGCATATTTTCACATATATAGCCCTTATAGGCTATAATTAAATTTGATTTTAAATTTTTTGGAGTCTTGAATCTTCGATATGAATTTTTCATCAGGATGAATGAGGTTTTTTCCATGAAACATATAAGATGAGAGATTAGCTAAACGCATGGCTGTTCAAAAGTTTTTTTTCCTGAATTTCAACAAGCCCATTATTGAAGTGTGTGAATCTCCACTTATGGCTCTAACCGATTATAATTTTATTTGATTTCGCACTATTTTGAAGCCTGGACTTTCCCAGCTAAATTTACTACTCGTTTGAGAATTCTGAATTGAAGTTTTTTCTCACTTTTCGCTAATTATTATTATTATTAGACATTGGTTTGAAAGATTTTGTATAATTTGTCTTTCAAATCTTGGTGTAATACTTGCTTTATTATTCCCCATGGTCTATAAAAGTGGTTCTTAAACTTTTTGAGCCGTCCCCCCTTCTTAGAATTTGTTGAGTCTCGCGTCCCAGCTCAAAAATCACTAACTAACAATAAGCTGCAAATAACAGATAGTAAGGTGGAAGTATGTTTTATTCAAAAAACATGTTAAAAATACATGGATGGGGGCTCCCGAAGTATGCGAACCGAGATGGCGGACATCGGAATGTAATATGTGTACTAGGTTAGGGTTAGGCCATCATTTTAGGTATAAATACTACGGGAGGCTCTTGGCTAGTCTTCGAACTGATAATAGTACTAAAATAAAAAAAAATTGGAAAAAAATTATCGCCTAACCCCAACCTGTTACCCATGTTACGTTTCGATGTCCGCCATCTTGGTTCGCATACTTCGGGAGCGCCCTTCTTGTCCAAGCCCCCATTGTGCGCCCCACTGTTTGAGAGCCACTTCTCTATAAGCTTTCTGGAATTTATAATTAGACGTTTCACCATTGGTTTGAGGGATTTTGTAAAAGCCAGTCTTTCAAATCTAGGTGTAATACTTGCATTATTTTGTCAAATTTTAACACTTTCCATTTCCAAGATTCATCGTTTGTTACCGATATTTCCGGTAAGTCATTTCACAACTTAACATGATTAAATCTGGCAACAGTCATTTAGCAATCAAGAGTCATTCACTAATTCATTTTTCACTTTAATTTATGTAGTAAAGATTAGGCATTGCAATGTAAAATTAGGAAAGGTAAACACACGTGCGGCGAGTTTCGCATTGTGCTAAGCGTGAGGATTACACTTTCATATCATGCATTATTAATTGATAACTGTCTGAGAGGCCATTGTGCGCCTGAGATTAAGCCGTCTTATCGTCTTCGCTCTTTCTCAGGATATGTTGAAAATCTTATCCTAGAAAGGATTTTCTACAGCAATGTCTAAAAAAATATTTTAATAAATTGATCAAGATTAGTAATTATTGCTATTTCATGCTGCAACTCATTGCTATAAGGTCTTTTCTCTCTCTCTTGGATAAGTATGAAAAATTATATCCTGACTAAAGAGGCGTAAAATAGCAGCACTGGTACTTGACGATTATGATTAGAATATTCCGACCAGTTGTGCTTCATTTATTCCTGGTCATGAAACAATCTTAATAGTACTGGTGTAGCACAGTTGACACGATTAGTTTATTGCATTTATCACGCAAGTATTTTACACTCCACATACAGTCCTACGTAAGTTATTTCACATAAAGATCTAGAAATTTTTATGTGTTTTTTACTTATGGTCTTACACCTCACATGAATTTTACACATATGCATCCTTAAATTTGTATATGTCATAATTATTAATAAATGTATTGTTTCACTTCTCATGGGTATATACACGCCAGCCAAGTATTTCATTACACATCACATACCATTTATCACATAGTATATGGTAATTTTTATGTGCCACATCTGTAAAATATTTCATGTCACATCACATGCATGATTTTCACTTCTAATTTTATGTGCATAATTATTTTCACATGCAATATCTTTTATTCGATTGCTCTACGATAACTGTACAATTGAAAATTTATTTATTTGCGGGCTAATTAAAAGGCTGGGCATTATTGGTTTAATTTCTGCTCAAATCTTGAACCAATTTGTATTTGGGGCATATCATTCTGTCTCTTTTTAAATTTTTATTTGAGCAAAAAAGTTGACTATATGATAACATATTTGAAAATCTTGTTCTAATCAGTATTTACTGACATGCAATGTGACACCATAATTCTGTATGGCTTTCAAATTTGCTGTGACATTTATTTGACCAGAATCCTTTAAAAGTTGGTACAACTGTAAATTGAATAAATAAATTTGAATTTGAATTTCTGTCTGAATCTCTTTGCATTTTATTGAATGCGACAACATAATAACATAATTTTGTATGTTTTTCAAATTCGATCAAAGTTATGTCATAAAATTAGCACATCCCAGGACAGGGGTGTGCACCAGGCGCCCGCAGGCAACAGCCCAGCCCTCCAAGCCATTTAGTGTGTCCCTTGTCAACATACCATCAAGCATATAATCCTAATCTGTCAGATTGTGTTCTAAAAGGCGCTCACATGGGTAAAAACAAACGCAGCGTCAAATCTATTGCCGTTTGTCCGATGTTTTTATTACCAGAAGGGTAAGTGATTGCCGCATTCTCTCCTCTTGCCTTTCCCGCGGCGCTCTGGTTGTCTCTAATTTTTTAATAAATCGTGTGCATAGAAAAGATACCGTATATACTCGCCTATAGGTTGTGCCACTGTATAGGTCGCACTATTAGTTTTGTGTTAAAAATGTTTAATTTAGAGTTGACTTGCACATAAGTCGCACTGAAAATCTAGGGATTTTCCCCTTTCCCTAGCTTTTTTGCATAGATAACTTCCTATTTTATTTTTTTTTGTAGGGCTTAATATAATCTAAATATGTTAATGACACCTATGAGCGATAATGAGTGCGTGTACGCAAGCGCTACGACATCTCAATCACCTCATAGAGCTTGCCAAATATACATGAAATCACCCGGGCGCCGATGATAAAGAACTTACTAACGTCCTCGATCTCTCTCATTTTGGGATCGCGACGAGAAAACAAGAGATATAGCCGTTTGATTTACACGAGGCAGAAGACAAGGTGGTTTGTTTGCGTAAGCAGTAATTACTGGTGCCTGACTTGTGCAACGCTGAGGGTCGCGTGTGCGCTCATAAAACTGTCTCACATTAGTATGTGCATGCACGAGCGCATGCACCCCGTATGTCGAGCAGATAGGTCGCACCTATATTTTTTTTCAAAATATAAGGAAAAAAGTTGCGGTCTATAGGCGAGTATATACAGTAATTTTTTGTGTGGCCCAGCTAAATTTCTGAAGTTGGTTATACCGACAAAAAATGTTGCCCCTGGTCTGAAACAACTCATTTGATATGTCAGATATGGCCTAACATGGGTTGAAGATAAGCTAACATAATGGTTATTTGAACTCTACCACTGTTTTTCTATATGATATTTCCAAATACAGCTCTGGACATGTAGCACCACGTTGTTACTATATATTGATAGTAATAATAAACAAACTGAGCCACTGTTGTATCTAAATCCCGAGTCTCAAAACAATCAACGTGAACCCCCGGTAATCAGACACCGAACAAAGTTGTGATATATTGACTAACGATTTGTTGAAACAACAATTTATTGACCAGATGTTTCTAAATTAAATCTTTGTGTTGATGTTATTGTCCTTGTCCTCCGCCCAACTAATGAATTCTTAAAATCTCTCCCAAGTTTTAATAGGCATAATCACTTTCTCAAATGCTCGCAGCACGCTGTCTTATAAGATTTCACAGTTTGCCTGCAAAGCCGTGAATTTTACATTGTTGCGTCACAATCACAACAACGCAACATCAGGAAAAATCTACGTTCCAATTGGCATCTAGTTTCAATCAACACGCATTTTCCTCTGATAGTAATAAAGGATATTAAAAAATAGCAACACACAAAAACTCGACTGCCGTCCAAGTACCCCTGATCTAAATGATCATTGTCCATCTATCACAAATCCAGCTTTTAGCTCATTGGATCATTCATATTGTATATATGTGTATATTTTTATTGAGTCATTTTACTTCTTCACTCTGGCTCTTGACAAGCACCCTCTGAATACATGAAGAGTTACAATTTTCATTTTTAAAGGCTTGATTATTTCTGGTTCGACATTGTCTAATTGATTTTGTATACCCAGTGTGAAGGCGGAGTACGCGGGGTTTGAACCGGGGCAACGTCAACATAGTAAAGTCCAAAAATTAATCACACTCGTCTTTTCAGATATAATTCTTTAATTAGCTGCACAGCTCTATCATGTTAATTCCCGAGCAAGTCTCGCCCAAATCTGCATTATTGATTGGTGCATATTGTACCAATATTATTTTGTATTGCTTGAGTAGCTCTTGACATAACAGTTTGTGCGTGTGATCTTGCTTAGAGATGTGTTGCTCTTTTCCTAATAAATGCACATGGCTTTGCTTGTTACAAAATTCTTATGAAAATATGTATTCTCATTCTACATTAATTTTCATCCATTGATTTGTACAATTTTTACAACCAGATTGAAGAGCTCACGAACAATCTCGCTTTTGCAAGTGATCTGTCCACAAGTACGTCCAGTATCGATAGTTTTGCTACAGATGGGGGAGGACCGCCCAAGAAAAAGAAAGCTGGAGCAAGATCGAAATGGAAGGGAGCCGCAAAGAAAGCTCTATTGCAATGGGTGAAGAAAAAAACTGCAAGGTTTGTGAATTTTTTCTTCGGCGCGGCAGTGTGACTCAACGGGCTAAGCGTTAGGAATACGCTCGCCACCGCACCTCTAATTACTCTGCGTGGGATCGCAGGTTCGAATCCTAGCAGGGACGGTTATGTGCGAGAGGATTGCCGGACTCCTTCCCGTCGTTGGGTGGTTCACGTAACCGCTGGTCGGTTACGGCTTCCTTCACCACCAAGTCCGTGCTTTCGAAAACAAACAATATAACTAATCCCATACCCGACTTGGAATGGTAACCGGACGAGAGGCCGTTGTTCGCCATATGGATCCGTCTTATCGGCTTTCCTCTCCCTCGGGATAAATATGTAAATCCCATCATATCCTATCCTAGCATTTTTATGTTTCCGCTTCACGCCGATAGCTCTCTCCTATAGAGGAGGTATTCAAATGATTTATATCATGGTTTTGCAACCTGTTCATGGGCCAAATGCAGCCCACAAAGAAAAATTGTGCGGCCCGCGGAAAAGTGCTAATTTGGAATGGTGTGCGGCCTGCACCGTAAAACAAATTTTTACTTTATTTTAATCTAAGTAATTCTAATCCCTTTACGTTGCAAAGCCTATACCTGAGCTCAATTCAATATCTATGCCTATGATAACGCAGGTTTTGTCAATTATTATGCAATAATAACCAAGGAAATTAAAGCGAGATAGTTTGTAATTTATCAAATACAAAATATATTTAATAGTAAATATAATACAAAGCAGCTGATTTCAGTTTAGATTGGCAGAAAGCGATAGGATTGGCGATCATTGAAATCGGCCACCATATAGGGCGGCACCTAGTGGAGGGGGTTTCTTGTTATACCCCTCATTTGAAATGTAAAAAATGGATTTTTCTTTGTCATTAATGGCAATTTTACGTAGTCTGAAAAGCTTTTTAGACCCTCAGGGTGTTTGAAAACCCTCGTTTCCGGCCGGACCGCTTGATGTTACGGTTTGACTTGGCAATTTAAAATTTCAACCCTTCACTCCTTTGTAAATTTCTAGCTACGCTCCGGCCACCGCCCAACTGAAGAATAGATATAATAAAAATTCATATGAAATGGATATAGAAAAAAGGCAAGATGTTAGTTGTAAATATGAAAGTTAAAAATATCTTATTCCTTCCTTTGTGCAAACTTTGTAGCCCGCTGGAATTAAAAGAGGAATTGAGGTTGGTGTAATGTATAATTCAGTGTAATGTAAATCGGGCTTTCCAAACTTGGGGTCGCGACCCTTCAGGGGGCGCACAACAGATTTTAGGGGTCGCAAAGAGTACACCATTTTCACACAAAGTACAATATTTGTTGCACTTTTTAGACTTCTGATTCAATACACAATTATTAAAACTAGTGTTTAACATAAATCTCACGATTTCGAGGGAATACATTGCACTGTTTAGCATTTTAAACGTGAACAGGGGTCACGAAAATTTTAATATATTGGATGGGGTCGCGAACTTAAAAATGGTTGAAAGCTTGAATGGTTGAGATGTGAACAATTATGTTCGTTTGTCATTGTAATAAATGGAAATCTTGTTTTGTGAATGTTTACTCCGGCGGTTCATGGTTTTCAAACTTCCAAATACTCCTGATACTTGATGTCCTCCGCTCTTCAATAAAAATAACAGTTTTCTATCGAGTTTTCATCAGTTAGTTTATACAAACTGAAGGCATAAATACATTACGATCAAAAAATTGAACAAATCACTGTTGGCTAACTTTAAATTAGTGTAGTTATGACAAATGTTATGATGGCCCTTGCTTGTGAATTGTGATCCCATAGTCGTTAGACCACTGGATTTTCATATCCAAAAAAATTTTGTGAGTAGAAAGAAAATCCTTACAGTTGTCTAAGTTCCCTCACCATTTGGATTTTTGAATTATTAAATATATATATAGCACCAGCCTTATTGTGAAAGAGGGCTGTCTTTATGCGCCAAGCACCATAGTGGTTACCCACTGGGTTTGTGTACCATTTCATTTTGCCATTTTCATTTTTTTTTTTTGAAGGGTTTTCTGTTTCTGATTGTTTGGATTTTTTACGAATTTTGTAATTTTTTTGTACCATTTTCCATTTTGTATTTTTTTTTCTGGGGTTTTGTATTTTGTTATTTTTTTGGTGGCGTTTTCAATGGCATCAAGGTTTGTCTTTGTTCTAATAGTGGTGCTTGACAGGCTCGGACAGCCATTTGTATCAGGTATCATATTCATATATATATCTATTCAAACATAATAATCTAGCGTTTGTGGTGTCAGAAGTTATTATTTGTTTTAATGACGCTGTACACACCTCATTTCACCTGTCATAACACACCTCCGACAAAGGTATGAAAAGAATGATTAGTCATTCAGTCAATGATTTATCTACACCAGTGCATGCTATGAATTACTCCGAAGAAACCACTAAACCACCAATATAGTGCAAATTTACATAATCTAGATGTTTGCTATTAATATCTTTAATAGTCATTTTTCATATTTTATACAAGTTGCTATAATTACTGAGGTTATATACATCCATGGGTGGCTATGCCAGTGCACACTGCATCAGTTAGTATAGCAATTTGAGTTAATCACTAACATAAATCAATTTTATCCATTGTTAAGATTATATTTATAAAGTTTTGTTATCAGGTCGTAACCCCTCTGTCCCATCAAGGATGACTATTTCCATTTTCAGTGTTTTTAAAATTGCGAACCTAAGAACTAACGACTTTATTGTAATTTTATAAAAATGAATTTGGTGAATAGTTAAGTTTTAATATTCTTGCCTCAGTCCATCAAGGATGACCAATATCATTCCAAATGAGATTTTTCCCAGGAGTTTTTTATTTGGATGAAAAAGTCTAAATACTACTCTAGACTTGACTTTAGAAGGGCGGCCAATTCTGTGCCTAGAACCGAATATAAATTCTGCTTTCTGAAACTTTGTCCAAAGATGGCGAGTCTCCTTCACTTTTGAGTGAATTATGGTTGCTAAGTTGTGGGAGTAGAACCAATGGCGCTCCAGAAGTACGTGTACCAATATGGAGGTAACTAATTTTGTTCGCCTGCTTTACATCAAGTTGTGTAAAGGAACTGAAACCTATGGGCAGGGGGTGTATCAGCTTGGCTAACACAGACAGTCCCCGAACTCGTAATAGAACTAAAATAAAGAAAATTGGAATAAAATTACGGCATAACCCTAACCTATTACAAATACTATGGGAGTACCGAGCCAATTTGAAACAAACAGATTTATGAAAGGGGCTGTCTTTATGTGCCAAGCACCATAGTGGTTAGACCACTGGGTTTGTGTACCATTTCAATTGCCATTTTTTAATTTTTTCAATGCAAGCAAGGTAGTAGTAGTAGTAACTTTTTTTGGGTTTTCCATTTTGTATTTTTTTTCCGGGTTTTGTATTTTATAATTTTTTTGTGGCAATTTCAATGGCAGTAAGGATTACCTTTGTTCTAATGGTGGTGCTTGACGGCCCGGACAGCCGTTGGTATCAAATATCAAATTTATATATATACCTATTCACATATAATAATCTAGCGTTTGTGGTGTCAAAAGTGATGCTGTGCACGCCTCATTTCACCTGTCATAACACACCTCCAACAAAGGTATGAAAGGAATGTTGAGTCATTGAGTCAATGATTTATCTACACCAGTGCACACGATGCATTACTCAGTATAGTAATATACTGATTTAACAACTAAATCACCAGTATAGTACAAATTTACATTATCTAGATCTGACAGGACCTACAGCACGAGGCTTATTGTTTTCTGCATTTACTTTTTTAACACTGTAAATATTGTTCATAAAATGTAACTTTTTACGTCACACTTACATGGCCCTTCGTACAAAAACCTTGCCAACTTCTGATCTAGATGGTCGCTACTGGGATTTTCATTAGATATGAACAATTTTTATATTCTATATGAGTTGTTATTATTACCAAGTCCTGTACATCCAAAGGTGGCTACAACAATGTATCCTATGTCATAATATAGTTAATATAGCAGTTTGATTAAGATATTTATTTTAGTCATATGCAAAACCAATATGCAATTTAAATGATAAATAAAATACATGCAATATATTACAAGATTGGATCTCGGTGTTAACTCAATATAAACGTATTGTAGTAAATATGTACACAAACATTATCGAAGTAATCCCCAAGACATACCAACATGAATGCGCTCTTAAGTACAGAGCAAACGACAACTTCATCTTCACAGCTGGTTGGTCATGATCAGGGATGGCCATTTCCCCATTTCCGAATACTAAACAATTCCGAATACATTCTAAAATAATGTTTTCGAATCTGGAATTCCGAATACATTCTAAAATCGAAAATAACACATTTTTGTTTTAGTTTATTAAAACCCAGTAAAATAGGAAATAAGCTTCAATAGAAATATCAGAGTAAAGCCACAAACCAACAGTATATGTATACAAAGTAATTGATAGTTTGTGGTTATTATGTTTAGAATATTGTTAAGTTTGAAATTAGCAATAAGTTAGAGGATAGGTGACCACCACTGCCAGGCGCGCAGCCAGGATTTTCAAAATCGGAAATCCCCATTGCCGCCTGTAACATCCACGGCGATTCTGGCTCGTTAAAAGAGACGTCTTTTCAGCGTATAATGATCATCATCCTGTCACGTAAATTATTCAATCCATGACAACTACGAGATTCTAAAATATCTTTATATATTAGTTTAATGTGTCCAACGTAACTCGCGGTTGCTTCTTCTTACGTCAAAATAAAAACATCACTATTTGGTCCACGGCGATCTGTGGCCTAAATGTACGAGATAAACTGCCTGATGTATTTAATTTCAATACGTATTTTTGCAATCTTGCCAACTCGTTATCGCCGTTAGCAGTGTTCACTATTAGCGCACTTTTTTGCGAAAATTGCGAAGCACTTTCGCAACTTTTTTTAGGGACTGCGAAATAGCACTTTTTTCCGATTTTGAAGAGAAATAGC